CTTAAACGAAAGAAACTTTTTGACACTCCAATATATAGGCAATACATCGAGGAATTTAAATAAAAGATTATAAAGGGTGTTTCATTAAGACGGATCAAAGTCAGCAGGAAATAAGACAGTTTTCTTAGTGAAAATTTATTTATTTCTCTATTGGATCATGTTATTTAAGTCATGGTGTGAAAAATAATATTGCCCAAATGTCCGCCAAGGCTTCGGTGGCATAACTCCACTCGATGGTCAAATTTTTTGATGACGTCTCTGCATAGTCTCTACTCGATCTCACCAACATTTCTTATTATCTAACAGGTGCTACCACCCCGGGCCAGGGTGAAACACCAGCAATTAAGAGGTGGTTCTACGACCCTTAAAACCTCCTGATCAGAGGCCTTGCTTTTGGACGTAGTTTATCGTTTTACCCAGGACGTGGATACAGTTTATCGTCATACCCAGGACGGGTACATAATGAGGAAAGACGTCTTTGTTGACACCTACAATGAAGGCAAGAAGGAGAGAGAAAAGCAACGCGAAGCCTAACTAACGAATTTGTTCTAATTGATAGCAGAACAGGGTTTAGGAGTGATAGCAAAAAGACAAAATTTACAAAGAGCTACAAACGACAGGGAATCGTGGAGAGCCATGATCACCAGCGTCCTGAATGGAGATGGCACATAGAAGAACATCCTGGTGAAACCATCAACGTATATACAGCGTATCAATATCAGAAACACGTGACTTTTATAAACAGAAAGCGTATAATCCTTTAGGAAGGAAACAAACCTTGGAGAAAATAAAACTATTAGACTGAAATGTAGTCGGATCCGCCATATTCCATAGAATTATCATTGTTTTAATCAACAGAAAATATTTTTAGTGTCAGGAAATAAGGAAGACGTCTGTTCAGAACATTCAGCAATTGTTTCTAATACACCGATGACAGAATTCTTTTGACAGCCTATAGACAAATTGCTTTTTTTTAGTTGGGCAACTGTAATTGCTAATTATGGTAATTATATCACTGATTAATTGGATTTAATTTAATTATATTTCATTAGCCTCAAGTTTGATTTCCTTCTTGAAAATCCAGCCTTAAATTCCAAACGATCTATTAGTTCCTTCAATGAATATTTTGCTACAGTTAAATTTCATTTATTTTCCCCCACAGCTAAAACATTAAAAGAAGAGGAAGACTAACATTTTTTCATTAAACGTCTTTTGCGAAATTTTGAAAATTAAGAAAAAATGTGCCTTTAATTTGAAAATAATAAATTAATCCATCTTGCACATTTACCGGTCGTCGGTGCCTTGAATTCTGTTATCATATCTGGTTTGGTTCTCCTGCTGTACATCTCGAGATTCTTGACAAAATGCGAAGAGGCTGTCATGTAATCGATCCTAACCTGGCATCTCGATTTCAGTCACTTTCTCACCTACGTGACGTGGCTTCCCTCTGCCGTTTCTACAAATATTTTCATGGGAACTTTTTTGATAAGCTTTTTTCCCTGTTGCCTCGACTACACGAATTTAAGCCTGCTACTAGATTGGCAATTAGGTCTCACTGTTTTACTGTTGAATGAGCTAGATACAACCGGCACTTCTATTCTAAGAGTTTCTTTTCTCGCACTTATCGCCTGAGGAACTTCCCTCTTTTTTCTTGTATCCCTGATAACTACTATCTTTAAAATTTTAAATGCAACGTCAATCGCCATCTTCTGTCTTCCTGAATCCTGTTCCTTTATTGTCCTTTCTCCTCACTTCTCCTCACTAAAGTCTTCTCATTCTCTTTCACTGCCAGTAAACCCTTGCGTCTTAGTGGCATTATCGCCATCTTCTGTCTTCCTGAATCCTGTTTCTTTATTTCCTTTTGTCCTTTTCCTACTAAAGTCTTCTCATTCTCTTTCCTGCCAGTAAAGTCTTTGGCATTATCGCCATCTTCTGTTTCCTGAACTGTTCCTTTATTGTCACTTCTCCTCACTAAAGTCTTCTCATTCTCTTTCACTGCCAGTAGACCCTTTCGTCTAAGCGGCATTATTGCCATCTTCTGTCTTCGTGAATCTTGTTCATTTATTGCCCTTTCTCCTCACTTATCATTAAGTCTTCTTATTCTCTTTCATTCCCAGTGACCCATTGCGTCTTAGTGGCATTATCGCCATCTTCTGTCTTCGTGAATCCTGTTCCTTTATTGTCCTTTCTTCACTTATCGTCAATAAAGTATTTCACTTCCTGATTTCTAGTGGGGTTTACATTTCATTGTACTTTTCCTATAGAATAGGAGGAGAAATATCCTACAACGTCTAACCGGTGGTACCCTACAACGTCTAACCGGTGGTACCCTACAAAATTTAAATATAAGAATCCAATAAGATTTTCTTGATGGTACGCTTCAAAATTCGACCAAATTTGGTTTCTGTCTAAATTTCTAGAATGCTTATTTACAATATTTATCCCTAGACTATTGTCACCATTTTCATTGTTGTTATCATAACGTTTCGGCTGTTACAACCTCCGATCTTCATTAGGGGTTTGTTGACCGGGGTAACTTGAACCCTTTATTTAAACTACCTCCGTAGATTAAATAAAGGGTTCAGTTCGAAATTCCCTAAATCTTACCCAAATCGACAATCACCTGATGAAGGTCGTTGTACGCTTCGGCCTTCTTCAGGTGATTGGAATTTCGAACCGAACACTTTATTTCGTCCACCAGAGTAGATTGTTCTAGTTCCATGTGCCATGTTTTAGCTATTCCCCTTTAACTCAATTCTCCAAGTTTTGGTTCGTCACTGCTGTGGCCTGGTATTGAACTCACAACTCTTTGGGTCTCTTCACTGGATCTAACCAACGTCACAGCAGTCGTGAACCAAAACTTGTAGAGATGAGTTAAAGGAAAATAACTGTGAAACCCGGAAGAGGCTTGGCACGTGGAATTCGAACACTCTACGCCGGTGAACGAAATAAAGGGTTTGGTTCGAAACCCCAATCACCTGTGGAAGGCCGGACGTACAACGGCTGAAACGTTGTGAATATGGCAATGAAGATGAGGATAACAGTCCGAATAATGTAAATAATGCAAGTAATCATAATACCTCATCTCAGAGATATAGGAGCCGAAACGTTGTGAATATAACAAGGAAGATGAGGATAATGTAAATAATGTGCGTAATCATAATACCTCATCTCAGAGATATAGAGGCCGAAATGTTGTAAATGTGGCAATGAAGATGAGGATAACAGTCCGAATAATGTAAATAATACAAGTAATCATAATACCTCATCTCAGAGATATAGAGGCCGAAATGTTGTGAATATGACAATGAAGATGAGGATAACAGTCCGAATAATGTAGATAATGCAAGTAATAGATGAGTACATAACTACACACCGAAAGAAAGATTCCTGAATTCATAAAAATGCGCCCATGCTTCGACTATTTTTTTGAATATTCTTTTGTGGCTATTTTAACAAAAGCTCCTGCGTTAAATTCGACATTTTTTGTCCGCTCTGTTCCTGTTTTTTATATTTTATTTTTTGCTTTGTGTATGGTTTGCACCTCATGACACTTTTTAAAATCTCACACGCTGTCATCCCTATTGTTTACAGCGCACTCTGAACCACCTTCTAACGGTCGTAAATACACAGTTTATTCAAACCAGCGCAAGTTACTTTTTTTTTAAATAACAAAAGTCCTCGACAACAAAAAACACAGTTATAAAAACAAGGCATGCAACAATACTCAAAGGGAAAATAAAACCTAATATCACAAAAATATAAAAGAAAAGAAAAAAAACTTGAATTAAAAAGAGAAAGAAAGAGAAAGAGAAAGGAAGAAAGAAAGAGAAAGAGAAAGGGAAAGGGAAAGGGAAAGAGAAAGAGAAATAGTTGTCCCGCCATATTTGCCAACAACTTAAGGTGTCGTGTCGCCTCCTACCGGTGATTTTTCTTTCAATAATGGCGGGAAAATGCCAATAAGAAATTAGAGACGGTCCTGTGAACGTTTTCACGTAATGTTATTTATTCGGTTAAAAACCCAAGTGCGGTTTCTATGTCTTTTATTCATTTATTTATTTTAAAGAGAAAACGAGAAGCCATTTTTGTATTTATTTATTTTTATTTTTACGTGAAATATTTTTTTATTATTATTCCGCCAAGCTTGCACACATATACAAACTGATTGCCTTGTTTGCTTTTTGAGAGGAGGCATTTATACAAAAAAAAAGAATATCAAAACACTAGAATAACGTCTTAAAATGTCACTGTAATAAATATCTCCCGGGCGATTTCGAAGTCTGCAAAAATACATTTTTGTTTTGTCGTTTTTTCTTTTTTTTTTTCTTCTCATGTTTCTTTTCCTTATTTCTTGTATTTTCTTTCCTTCATGTTTGTTACATTTTTTTTTATTCTTTCATTTCCTTTTTTTAAATTTTACATTGTCTTTCATTCTTTTATTTTTTTTCGTTCACTTCTTTTCATTTTGTCTCTAATTTTTTTTACTTGTTTTTATTATCTTTTTTTCTGCTTTGTTTTCGATTGATTTTACATTGTTTATTCTAAATCTTTTTTCTTTTTTTTATTCCTTCGTTTTTTTTTTCTTCGTCTTCTTTTTCTTCCTTTAATTTCTTCCTTCAAATTGCTTAATGCTTCAGTGTTTTTTCTTTTTCATTTTAATTCGCTTTTTCCCTCTTTTTCGCATTATTGCCTACTCTTTCTTTATCTATCTTCTTCTTCTTTTTTTCATTTCTTTTTTTCTTTTAATCCTTCTCGTCATTCTGTCTCTCTTCTTTTTCGTTCTTTATTTTCTTTTGGTTTTCATTCCTTTCTTTGCAGTGGTTTTTGGCAATACCAGTTCTTCACATTTATCTATGCTCGATTTTTTTTTCTTTCTTTCTCATATTCTTTCATTTTACTCCCAAAAGAACGAAGATATATATCAATAATGGTTTTTTGCTACTCCTCCTAGGTAAAGCGATACCCTGTAGGCTTAGAGGAAATTAATGTTCTATTCAGGCATGAGACACTTTCTTTCATTCTCTATCTCTCTTTCGATCTCTCTTTTCCTCTCTCTCTCTCTCTTTCTCTCTCACTCTTTCGCTCTCTTTCTCTCTCTTTCTCTCTCTGACTCTCTGTTTCTCTCTATATATCTCTCTCTTCCGTTTTTTCTCTCTCTTTCTCTTTCTCTCTCTCCGTATCCCTTTCTCTCTCTCTTTTTCTATCGTTTTCTTTCTCCCTCTCTCTCTCTCTATATATATTCCTCTCTATCTCTCTTTCTGTCCCACAGAGATAGAGTGATGGATTTATAAGTTAGACACGTTCTTCTGCAAAGCCATTGTACTCTGCTAGCTTAGTGGTTAAATCTGAATGATTTCAATATGGCAAAAGGGAGATAATTCTAAACCTCATCGATAAATTATCCTTTATTTTAGTTTTTGTGCTGTCAACTCTTTGCCGTAGATCGACGGTCTCATTGAAAGACTGGAAAAAAAAGCAACTTAAATTCAAGATGAAAGTAGATGGGAATTAAAATGAATAATAAAGATAAAACTAAACTTATAAGACATATTTTACCCGAATTCTTTGTGATAAAGAATTGCTATGCCTTGCTATTTGGATCATAATGCTCATTTTGGTTGTCATATTCAAAACGTTTCGATCGTTGTACCATCCGGCCTTCTTCAGATAACTATCTTTTTACTCGATTATCGTCACAGAATTTTTAACAGAAACCTTAATTTAATCTACTAGGTTCGCTTTCCACGTTTAGAAGATATATAGAAATTTTATAGCAGTTAATACTCAAATGTAGTATTCATCGCGGCCTTGTGGGTGATGAATTATTTTCCACCCTACAACCCCTTTCCTAGAGAAGAAACGTTGCAAGCCTCTCTATCTCTATTCACATATATGTTCTGACAAGCTAGATTCCTTAGCTTCCTCAAGTTCAGACCTTCACAGCTAAAACCCATCATGTCAGGTACACCGGGATTCCCTTCATATTCCATTAATTAGGAGGAAGTTCTATTCTTCCCAAGAATCACTGCTTCGTGGAACAGATTCCTGAGAGGATGCTTACTTGACCATTACACTCTTAAGTCTAGTATTAACCGTTATCTTTCGAACCTATCCTTATAAATCTCCTCTTACGTGAATCAAGGTCAATCAGTGAACTTCTGCCTTGAGTGGCTCATGGGTGAACATTTAATGGGAAAACTCTATACGAAGTATGATAAAAAAAATAACGGAGCTAAAGTACACAGATTAGCCTTGAATTCTGTCACACGTACACGCTAAATTGTAACGTTCTCGCCCACTTTCATTATTAATAGCAGTACTTGGAAAGAAAGTGTGTAGAGTGTAGTCGTCTCATCACCCCATAGATGTTCCATCAGCTTTTGAGCCAAGCACAACATTCCTCATGTCGGACAACCACCGTATCCCCCAGATCTTGTCACTTCTGACTTTTTCCTCTTCAAAAATCAAATCCCACTCGAAAGGAACAAGATTTTAAAACAATCTAGGAGAATGCGTCAGAAAGCAGCTCACTATCTCCACAAAATTTCTAGGAATGCCTCCGTCAGTGACACTGGATAAAACTTCAGAAGGGGGCGACTTCGAAACATATCAATATGCTTTGTAGTTTTCTTTTTACAGCACCAGTCCTAATACTTTTATTTTATCAAAATTATCCGTTCCTTCCCCTGAAAAAAGAATGCTGATAAACTACTGTTTCAGTAGATGCATACTCGATGTTTTTCTAGTGCTTCCATCTTTTTGATCCTATGCCAGACTAAGATTAGTATACAAGATTTGTCATCTAAGAACGCATTTTTAGTCGGCCAAAACTTGAATACAATTACCTAACCTAATGTTATGCAGCATGCGCTAAACGTTAACATTCACATTTCTCTTTCAAATATATCGATTGTATTAAGAGAGTCAGTTCCAAATTGACGCGAGAAAGTTAAGGGCTCGTCGTAGAGAACCGGTCACGCAAACTTAATTTAACTTGGTAATTTTTCAACCTCTGCCTTGACGCGTCTGACCGCATTTTCAAACTCTATCAGAAAGTGTGTAGCCGTTTTCAACATTTCGAAAATCGGTTGTGCCTCCTTAATTCAACTTGGTAACCAATCAGAGAGGACATCAGTGCGCATGAATAAACGAACACAGCCCTGTGGATTCATTTGCTCGGCAATGAGATGGCATTGTGTTAGTTTGTCTCCGCTGCGGCTCTACAGGGAGCCTCTGTGATCAACGAAGTCTCGTGTCTTTCTGTTCAAACGTTTCACTCCAAGCAAGGCAATAAAAGAGACGCGGGGCTACTGAGAGTGAAAGAAACGGAGACGAGGATAAAAGCACAGAATTCATTTAAATTTTTGAAAGCAGGAAAAGAGTTCCACAAGCAGGAAAAGAAAACTATTGCCATAGAACTTACGGTTACAACTAGCAATTTCGGCGGTGAAATTATGAGACCTAACTGCCAATCTAGTACTTCGCTTGAATTACTCGTGAATTCTAAGCAACAAGAAAAGATCATCTGAGCAATTATCGTGAAAATATATATAGAAGATTGACATTGCATTTACATTTTTGAAAACACATTTGGCAGCAAATCAGGAAGCCAAAGATAGTTCCGTAACCAGTTTGAGATAAGAAACTATTAAATGTTTTTAACTAGCAACTTTATCGGTGAAATTATGAGACCTATCTGCCAATCTAGTGCTGCGCGTAAATTCGTGACGTTGAGGTACCAAAAAGAAAAGCTGGCCAGAACAATTACCGGGAAAATATTTATAGGAGAGACAAAGGGAAGCTATGTTACAACGGTGAGAAAATTACTGAAGCCGAGATGCCAGGTCAGGAGTTATAACGTTGCTGATTCTTCTTTAGATTTTGTCAAGAATCCTTAAATATAAAATAAAGACACCAGTCCAGGTGTGGCGTCAATATCCGTTGCACAGATGAATGATAGACATATAAAGGTGCAAAATAGATTTGAGCAGAATACAAGAAAGCAATTTTCCGAGCAGCAAAGAAGGCAATGGATTCAGTATAATTATTCCATACCTGTCTATATCTCTGAGATGAGGTATTATGATTACTTGCATTATTTACATTATTCCGACTGTTATCCTCATCTTCATTGTCATATTTACAACGTTTCGACCTCTTAGATAAGGTCTTATCATTACTTGTATTATTTACATTATTCGGACTTTTATCCTCATCTTCATTGCCATATTCATAACGTTTCAGCCTCTATATCTCTGAGATGAGGTATTATGATTACTTGCATTATTTACATTATTCCGACTGTTATCCTCATCTTCATTGCCATATTCATAACGTTTCAGCCTCTATATCTCTGAGATGAGGTATTATGATTACTTGCATTATTTACATTATTCCGACTGTTATCCTCATCTTCATTGCCATATTCATAACGTTTCAGCCTCTATATCTTGAGATTGATTACTTGCATTATTTTTATTCCGACTGTTATCCTCATCTTCATTGCCATATTATAACGTTTCAGCCTCTATATCTCTGAGATGAGGTATTATGATTACTTGCATTATTTACATTATTCCGACTGTTATCCTCATCTTCCTTGTCATATTCATAACGTTTCGGCTGCTGTACGCTCCGGTCTTCTTCAGGTGATGGCAATTTCGAACCGAACCCTTTATTTCGTCCACCGGACTAGATTGTTCTCAAGGTCACATGACCCATTGGATAAAGAAGTTGGTTAGATCCAGTGACTAGACCCAAAGAGTTGTGAGTTCAATACCAGGTCAAAGCAGTGGTGAACCAAAACTTGGATAATAATAATAACTTAGACTCCCGGAAGAGGCATGGCACGTGGCACTAGAATAATCTACCTATCTATAGTAACACGAGAAAAAAATTATTATTTCTGGTTGCAGTGTCTATTTACAACTCCACATAATTCAAAACTGTGGATAAAGCAACGGGAAATCACTCCACTTTCATATGATGCCATGACCATTCATGAGATTAGGGCACTTCCACATGAGATGATTGTTAGCAATCTTGGCTCACTAGATCAATTACTGAATAGCAAGTTTTATTTTAGTGGGTGCTCCAGACTTTTGGCCTTGTGCCACATCTAAGCTACGCTTACAAAATAATTGGACATTTCAAAGAGGTGTAATGGTGAGCAAGCTTGTATCACTAGAACAATTACGACTGAATAGTGAATTCAATCCTCATTGAGTGCCCGATAAGATGATCCTTGTACTACATCTAAGCAATGCTTAGAAAATCAACATAAGATATAATAATTGTATTATAAGAAATATATATATATATATATATATATATAGCTAGAGGCAACCGGACGTCTAGCCACAATGATGAACTGTGATACAGTGAAACAGTCTGTCTGTGGATGACAATATATATGCTCCTGAAAAATTTATTTCGGTTGAGCTCTCTGGGAAGGAAGTGTGAGTTTGTAAACAGTGACTATAATGCAAGACTCTTCGGTAAATCGAGTCGAGTTCTCTCAGTCACTGTGTGTTTATCTAAAAATAAATACGCTTAAATTCCCTTTTCACTACTCTGCGCCAACAGCTTAGTGGTAGAATACCCGACTGACGCCAGTCCAATCGGGTTTCGATCCTTGCTAGAGGAAACCGGTCGTCTAACCACACTGTTATCGCTGTGGTACAGCGAAACAGTTTGTATGTGGATGGCAATGTGTGTATATATATATATATATATATACACTTTCATTGTTTGCCGAAATAGTCTATTCCCCACATGAAAAGTTTGTTTTTTTTTATTATTCATTAATATTGCTCTGTATAACTAAAATACATCGAGCTCGCTTTTGTGGATCAGTTTTAATATTTTTATATTACTAGGATCCACACGGATTATATACCCACGGATTTATTTTACCTTTACTATATATATATATATATATATATATATATATATATATATATATATATATATATATATATCAGGCCATCCCATAAGTTTTGTCCGAATTTTACCTTCTTTTAAAATGAACGAAATTTAAAGAGTATTTTATAATGTCTAATGGAGCTGAACATTATTTTTATGTTTATATGCATTTAAACTGATCAAATTTTATTTCAGGGAACAATAAAATTAAATTTTGTTTGATTAAAACCCTGCTAACATGGAAGTACCCAAGAATCATTTGAGGCACTTAATGCTTTATGAGTTCAAGAAAGGAAACTCAGCAGCCGAAGCGGCTAGAAACATTCACTCAGTTTATGGAGAGGAATGTGTGAATGAAACAACTTGCAGAAGATGGTTTGCAAAATTCAGAGGTGGAGATTTCACCAGCAATTAGAGCGTTTGAACCAAGCTTTGAGGAAAAAAAGACCTGCTCTAGTAAATCGAAAAGAAGTGATGTTTCATCAGGACAATGCGCGACCCCACACAGCAAGAATCATGTCACAAAAGATCGAAGAACTTGGTTGAGAGAAAATTCCTCATCCGCCTTATTCTCCTAACCTTGCTCCTTCAGACTACCATTTGTTTCGTAGCTTACAGAATCATTTGGAAGAAACAGCTTTTGTAACACGGGAAGAGGATAAAACTGACATTTGTGTGTTCTTCGAATCAAAGCCAAAAGAATTTTACAGTAATGGAATTAGTAAGCTTATTAATAGATGGAAGGAAGTCATAGATAATCAGGGAAAATACATTGTTGATTGAATCTGTAATTAAATGTAACATTTGGTCACTTGTTTTCTTTATTCAAAATTCGGACAGAACTTATGGAATGACCTGATATATATATATATATATATATATATATATATATATATATATATATATATATATATATATATATCAGAAAAAAGGAATCTGTGAAGTGGACACTGAAATAAAGGTTCTAAAATTCGTATATTGAAGTGAAGCGCTATTTGTTTAGTCAGGTTATTTTGATTTCATATAATATTAAATGGTTGATTATTTTCCAGGCACACCTTGTAGTAGATTTCTGTATAGCCGCGTCGTCAATAACTTATTTAGATTTAACTTGACATCATGGAACATACTTAACTTTTTTTTATATATTCTTCAGGATGCCTGTATAAACATGAAATCTGTCAAATCTTATTCTGACCATTTTTAGAAACGAAAGCGTAACGGGGGAAAATATTTTGTTACTTTTTGAAGGAATGTTTTACATAAATTTGAAGAATGCTCTTAGAAAAAATACAGGAAAAATTCTGTTTTTAGGGTTTTTTTTAAAAATAAACATGTAGGAACACATATACATCATGGCCCATAATGCAATGTACATTTTAAGGTAGCTCTAGTTTGAATATTTTTAGCATGCTCATCTCGGAAGCCATTTCGGTAGCTCACTCGCTCGCTAGATAGATAGATAGATTGATAAGATAGATAGATAGCAGAATTATAGAATTATATATGTATATATATAGATATATTGAGAGGTACACTCACCTATATATATAGACAGAGAGAGAGAGACAAAGAGAGGCAGACAGATGCAGAAACTGAAATAGATAGACTTATATATATATATATATATATATATATATATAATTCTGCTTTCTATCTCTCTATCTATTCCAGTTTATGCATCTGTTTGTCTCTCTCTTTATTTATATATATATATATATATATATATATATATATATATATATATATATATATATATATATATATATATATATATTATATATTCTACATTCGACAGCATCACTTGATAAGTACCAGAAGTGTTGAAACAAAATGGCTATTTTTATAGTGATTTTATAACGTTTATGGTATAATTTTCGAATAAATAATTATATATATATATATATATATATATATAATAACAGACTGATATATATATATATATATATATAATATCAGTCTGTTGTTATATATATATATATATATATATATAAATATATATATAATAACAGACTGATATATATATATATATATATATATATATATATATATATATATATATATATATAATATCAGTCTGTTATATATATATGTTATATATATATATATATATATATATATATAACCTCCGTATTGAATTTGGGACCCTTACCAACAAATCCGTCAGTTCTTTTCCGAATTGCTGTACCGTTGTAATCACTATAAGTAACCCTTCAACTTTTTTCAAATCCTCATCTGATAGACATTTTAATAGTGAACTAAACAGAAGCACTTAAATTCTGCTTTTGTTGATCCCACCTTCGACACCGGTAACCGTTGCGCTTCCAACATATCTCGCTAGGAATATGTCGTTCTTCATTCATCTCTCAGTAAAATATTTCATTTTTTAAGTATATCAGTCATTGACCTAAACAGCCATGTTGTTAAGGTCGCAATTAACTTATGAGGCACCGTGCCTTGACTGACTATTAGGCCTCAAATTCGCACCTGACCTCAAATGGAACTCGTGCATACGTTCCATTGCGAAAGATGCAGTTAAAATGGTCAGCTCCCTGTACCGATCTCCTGAATTCCTTCTACTATCCTCTACATTTACAAGAGCCAGATCAGACCAAAACTGCCATATTTGGGCGGGAGCTGCCCAAACCTCACCATTCAGATTTGATAGAGTCCAAAAGCGTCTCCGAGCGAGACGAATTAATCTCCATACTCCAATCACTCTCACAGGCGAGATTTGACAAGCCTCTTGCTGCTCTACCGTTACTTCCACGGAAAGTGCTCGGACGAACTACATACCCTGGTCCCACCGAAGCAAACCTTCACGGTAAGGAGACGCCATGACATTTACATAGTAGCAAACCACCGACACTCCCTCTGTATTCGATCGGTGAGAAGTAAGTTCCACTCGAACAGCTTCTTCCAGTGAACCACTCCTCTGTTGAACCGACTCCCGAGAGGATGATTTCCAGATCACTACAATCTTAACCTATTTATTTTAAGTTTAGATTTAACACTTATCTTCACCTTCTATCTGTACAAACTACCTCCTAACGTAATCTTCTGTATCGCTTGTCCCCCGGGACCTTATAAAGGTCTTACCTTTCTATAGAAAAAAAAAACATACCAGAAATTCATTTGTCACTTCCTTTTTAGGGAACGCCTCAGTCATCAAAGACTGACTCTGACCTGACTCCTTTAAGCGCTATGCTGTGGTATAGCCTATATGAGTACCTCTCTGAACTTTGGCTAATTTGTGCTTCAGATCCCATAAAGGGAAGATGAAATTAGACACGGTTAGAGAAGAAAATAGTCGGTTTAAAATATCGCTTTTTGACACTCCATTATTGTTCGAACAAATGCAGAATAATAAACCTCTGAAATTATTTTTTTTTTCGGTTAATAATAAAACGGGGCGACGGCTTTCTCCTGATAAACATATCTCGGGCCGATGACAAAGCTCAGGTCGACGCATGCGTCACGGCGTTAGACTGAATTGATAACATCCGTTTTGGCTCACGAACTTTTCCGATTCAACCGGAAGCGAAGTAGGGAAAAAAGCCAGAGCTTCGCTGTTAGAAGCTCAAGAATATTTTCCCCCGACCCACAACGCTGAAATAGGATTTGACCTCCCAAAGCAGATAACCCCAGACACTAAGAGGAATGTGAGAGCAGAACAGTTAAGATATTACTTCTCTCTTTTTATCGCTCCAACGAAGACTCCTCTCTATATATATATCTCCTTATCTCTAATTGCGTTTCTGTCTCTCTCTTTCTGTGCTTCTTCCCTTCTGTCACTCTATCAATCTCTTGCTTTCTCTCTCATATTTCCTCTCTCTCTCTCTCTCTCTCTGTCTCATTCTTTTTATCCTTCGTTCTTTCTTTCTCTGTCGCATTTCTCGTCATCATTCTGTTACTCTCTCTCATTTTCTCTATCGCCATATTGCTGTCTTCTCCCTCGTTCTCGCATTTTCTCTTTTTCTTCAAGTACTCGTGACATTTTAATTTTCTCTTTCCACCTTAAATTTCTTCCTTCTCACTCATTCCCCTATATATTTCTATCTTATTATCTTTCTTTCTATCTTAAACTTCTTTCTTCCTGTCTTTCTTTTTATTATGTCTCTCTTTTTATTACTTCCTCTTCACACCCTCTCTACTTCAAATCTTGCTTTTTTTACGGGCTCTCTTTCTCTCTATATAAACTTCCTCTTTCTTTCTCCTCTTTTTCTTACCCTGTCTTTCTTCTTATCTCTCATTTTCGCTTTCTCTTCCCATCAATCTCTCACTTCTATTGCTTCTTCTTCTCTTCTATCTTTCTCGATAGCTTAACCTTCTTTCTTTCTTTTTTTCTTTTTCCACTCCTTCTCTACTTATTCCTCTTCTCTTACTTTTGTTGCTTTTTCGGTCTATCTTTTCTATCTTTTTTAGCTATCACTTTTTCTTTCTTTCTTTCTTTCTTTCTTTCTTTCTTTATTTATTTATTTATTTATTTTTTATTTTTTTATATTTTTTATTTTTTATATTCTTTATATTTTTTTATATTTTTAATTATTTTCTTTCTTTATTTATTTTTCTCTTTGTCTCTTTCTTCTTATTTATTCTTCTCTTTCTCTTCACTCTAATTTCTCAACTTTATAACTTACTCTATCTCTCTTTTGTTTCTCTAATCTTTCCCCCTGTCTTACTCACCATTCTTTCTTTCTTTCTTTCTTTCTTTCTTTCTTTCTTACTTTCTTTCTTCTCTTTCTTCTCATTCTGTCTCTTTCCTCCTGGTACATATCTGTTATTTGACGGCTAGAGATAAGCTTCGCTAAAAGGTCGTATTGGTATATTATATCAGCTGATATCACGCGTGCGTCTGAATTTACGCGCGTTATTTGATGCCAAATCTTACGTGGTTTATTTACTCAGTGTTAACATTGCAACACTTTCTTTATTTCTCTTTCAACGAGTTTGAACTGATAAAGCAAGACCCAGTCACGCACACACAAAGCAAGCTTCACCTTCAAAATAAACCAAAAAAAAAAACAACTTACCATATTTAACATCTTCATTACACAGCATTTGTCGCGTTTTTACAATCTTCATCACAGAAGTTAAGTAGGCACTGATAACAAATAAGAGATATTTTATTTTCAGAGAAATTAAATATTTTACACGCATACAAAAAGTACTACGTACAGTGGGAAAAAGTCAGGATTTTATTGCATAAAAAATACTAACCGAAAATTCTTCAGCTATTTAAAGGGTATGAAATTTACTTTACTAATATCCTCATCTTTGTTGTTATTATCATAATATTTCAGCCTTTGCGCACTCTTGGCCTTTTCAGGTGTTTACGGAAGGCTGAAACTCAGAAATACCGACACGTTGTGATAATAACAAAGATGGGGATATTAGTCTGAATGGAAATAATATATAAATAACTCCTATATCAGAAATTCAGACAAATTTGTATAAAAACTGTTTCCGTTTTTGTTTATTTTCTTTTTTTCCAGATCATTACTCCAAACATTGTTTTATGTACTCATCATACGATTATACAGGACTCCATTATATTAATAAAATTATTATCATTATTGAAAGTATTAAGTCAAACAATCAACCTGAAATTCCATAACCCTGAAGCTTGCGAAGAAGGCTGGCATGCCAAACCCTATCAAATGCTTTCGAGATATCTAGAGCCACGGCACGAGCTTCTCCGTTATTATGAAGGGCTTGGTAAACAATTTCAGTGATGGCCGTAAGCACATCAACTGTAGAACGGGCAAAGCGGAAACCGTATTGCTTGTCGGAGAGCAGATCATGGGATATAAGGTGCTTAGCCACTTCGGCGTTGATTAAAGCTTCGAAGACTTAGTCGAAGAGGGGTAGGAGACTGATAGGACGGTAATTAGAAGGGTCAGAAGGGTCACCAGATTTCTTAAAGACAGGAACAATGGATGAGGACTTCTAACAGTCTTGAAAACAAGATTCATTGAGGCAGTAGTTATATAATTTGGAGAGGGCAGGGGCCATATCAGGCACACATTTCTTCAGGACAATGGCTGGTACCCCATATCCATCACTAGCCTTGTTGGGGGGCAAAATTAGAGATAATGCCCAATACTGATGACGGTATTACTTACTAATAATATCTACTTTTCGTCTAAGGCATTATCATGGCGTATAAAAGAATTAGGATTCTGGTAATTTTCAAGAATTATTTTAAACTTCGAAGGTTTTGGAGCCGCTCTAAGAATTCGGGAAGTCGAAAGAGGTGATTCAATTTCGTACCATTCTACTCAAAATTCTTTTAAGCAATTCAAAGCCGACAACTTTTCCCTTGAAATAAAGCCCAAAAGTAGACGGTTATAATTTGTTGATTATGTTAGTACAAATCGTAGGGGAGAACCTGCCCACTAACAGGACTCGAAAACACTCAGAAGTAAAATATTTATCATTATCAGTCTCATGACCGAGTGTGCTCCTAGGGTTGTTGCGCACCTGACCATTTCCTTTCACATATCTGGGTTGCCGGGCAAAGTAGACTTGGCTAAGCTACGGCTACGCGTACAACAACTACGCGTACCACAACTACGCGTACAACAACTACGCGTACCACAACTACGCGTACCACAACTACGCGTACCACGACTACACGTACCACGGCTACGCGTACCACGACTACACGTACCACAACTACGCGTACCACGACTACACGTACCACAACTACGCGTACCACGACTACACGTACCACGACTACGCGTACCACGACTACCACAACTACGCGTACCACGGCTACGCGTACCACGACTACACGTACCACGACCACTACCACGCGTACCACGGCTACGCGTACCACGACTACGCGTACCACGACTACACATACCACGGCTACTCATATCACGACTACACGTACCACGGCTACACGTACCACAACTACGCGTACCACGACTACACGTACCACGACTACACGTACCACAACTACGCGTACCACGACTACACGTACCACAACTACGCGTACCACGACTACACGTACCACGACTACGCGTACCACGACTACACGTACCACGGCTACGCGTACCACGACTACACGTACCACGGCTACGCGTACCACGACTACGCGTACCACGACTACACGTACCACGACTACGCGTACCACGGCTACTCATACCACGACTACACGTACCACGGCTACGCGCAAACGCGGCTACGCGTACCACAGCCACAACGATGACCACACGCCCGCTAAAGACAGCCGCCCGTACGAGGAGCAGTAACTCGCACTGGAGAATCGTGCAGACAAAATTTGTCTTTTGGAAATATGTCGAGTTTCGCTCTTTCTGGGTCAAACCACAGCCGATGTCCTCCAACTTGAAGGCTCACCCTGGTCACAGACACGTGACCGATGATTCAATAGGGGGGGGAGCCTTCACTCTTGTCATTGACTTCAGCCTAAAAATCCCTCCACCTAGTGATGCCGTGTGTTCACTGCACTGTATGCCTACATAGTTATGGGAACCAGTCTGTTCCACTCTGCTAGCTGACCCTAAAAGGAGGTAAAAAAGATTCCAGAAGCATAAACATTATGAAAGCGATTTTAATAAAATGAAAATAATTAAACATTTTATTACAGGAACAAAATTTAATTAATACGATAAAAAACAGATATAATAACCCTTTTTATTATGTCTGTTTTTATCGTAAAGATAAGAAAACTACAATTACAATAGTCCATCTTTCTTCGAATCTCTAGCGCTACAAAATCACAATCATCAATACCAAAAAACAGGAAATAATGACATAAGATGTTGATGTTCTACACTACTGCAAACAAAAGGTTAGAAAGGAAACATCCAACGATACTAGAAAGAGCAATAACAGTTACTGGACATTTTTCCTGAAAACTTATTTTAATAGAATTGTTTAAGAAATTTCAACCGACAGTAGCAGTGGCTGTTCCGTCAATGAATATCAAATGTTTCCTTATAAGGAAACAGTTATCATTATCATTACAAACAGACAATATGAAAAGAAGAAAAAAGAAAAAAAGTCAAACAAATTGAGGAGCGATAATTTTATAGTATTTTTTCTATTTTCCTTTTTTCTACATTTCATATTACCAAAAACTGTAGTTTTAGGTTGCCCCTCTCTTTTTTTAAATGAAAATAAATTTTATACCACCCGATATTAATAAAAAATAGCATTACTAATTGCCTTAGTTCTCTTCAAGGTCGTTCTCTTGGGGCTTTTATCCCAAAGTCTTTTCCATTTTTCAGAACAGTCTGTAATGTCTTCTTTCGAGGTCATTATCATCTACTTCGTCACGTTTATTCTTAATCTTGTCGTAAATCTCATTCATTTCGATGGCGATATTATCTGTACTGTAGGTGAGTAGCTTGGATAATAGGTTATATAAACCCACTACTCGTAGATTGACGAGCCCAAAAAGCGAAATGTACGAGTTGACGTGTTGCTACAATTCATTTTACCTCGATCTTATATTACTCTATATTTATCAAAGCATTGGGCACTTTATCTTACTTATTACGTCTTTTGTGTTTAAGGTGTCAGATTTTAAGATGGTGGTAGATAAAAAAAAAACTTACATATATAAAGGTGACACTCACAGCTTAATTCACAGCCGAGTAGGAACTACCCGACGAATTGCTACAATTAATTTCAGACCGATCCTAGATTGGTGATTTTTTTTTTTCAAAGCATTGAACATTTTGTCTTTAGATTCCCTACCTGCTTTGATATTTAAGAGCGTAAAAGTTTTTCTTTCTTTACGTTCAATCTTGTCCCCATTTTCCTCCTCTTTTGTGTTTGTCTTCCATTGTTGTCGTTGCTAGCATTTCACACTGACCCGACTGCCAAATATTTCGAATCTTTAATATTCGAATTAGGTTTTCTTGCGTTGTGGTGTCATGGATATCGACTCATGATGAGAAATCGGAGAACCGAGATCGAATTACAGTCGGGCTCATTACATTCACTTACGCGCAAATACCCTTGGGAAAGGATGTGAAATCGTCTGTTTCCCCCCAGTTATGGATTAAATAGCAAGATAGACTGGTTCTTAAAGCCTTGGTTGGCAACCAGTCTACAGCAGAAAGAAATGGCAACCTACTGCGGGAAAATCGTCTGCCTAGTTAATCATGGATCGAAAGATACCTGATCGCCCAAACGTGTATCACGTATGGCACTTAACTGATTGACTGATTTCAAAGAGTGCTAAATTTAGTAGGCAAGTGATGAAGGCTGGAGAATGCATTGGCTGGAACGTTTGTGCTCAAAACAAAAACATTAAGGTACTTGTCTAAATAATTGATACGTTTTAAAAAAAAAATGCACAGTAAGTAGGATATTATCATTCATAGAATACGACTTCAACGTGTTCGTAGGGCGTTTAGAAAATTGGAAACATTGGGAACGGTTTCAAATACTGTTAATTGATTCTTATTTCTTGAAAAAAAAGCTAATGGAACACGATGAGATTCGAACCGGAATCTCATGATCGGAAGGCATGCGCTTTAGCCACTTAGCCATACGTCATATTCTTGGTAGTTTAATAAATAGCCTAAAGACTGAGGCGTTTACATTCGCTGTTTTTTATTTATTTTGTCCTCCAAATTCAGTGACATTTTCCAGCTGGTACTCAGGAAATTCTCAAGTAGTAAAATTGCTTAGGTTTTGTTAACTTCGACAAAATGGCAAAAACTGACGGCTTCCCAATAAGCCGCAGACGCAAGTTGATATCACAAAAAAAAAAAAAATGCAAAAAAAAAAAAATAGAAAATTTTCGCTTTAGGAATTCGATGTCACGGGAGGAAAACCGACCCCGTTGATTCGAAGTCAACAACTCAGCAGCAATAGATAAAATGTTTTTAGTTCTTCACCTCTCTTCTCTCTTTCTATTTCTCTTTTTTTTCTCTCTCTTTTTTTTTTCTCTTTTTTTTTAATGGTACATTTTCGCGTTTGTTTTTCCCTTTGTTTTTCTTTTGTTTCTCTTGAGCATATCTCTTTACTTAGGAGAGGTTGTTAAGTTATTAGTGACGCATATCTTATCTCCCGTAGGGAACTGCTACTTATAGGGTGGGGTTGGGATTAGAGGTAGGGTTGCGAGACGCGAAACACGAGAAGTCAATCACATTGACTATGCGTACTCAAAGAGCGCTCCCTCAGGATACATAATCATGATAACACCTAAGTCATTATTCATCTATTTTAAATATTCATGTCGGCAAGTAAGCATGCACACGTGGCAGTGTCTGTATGTATGTGTATGTGTGTGTGAGGGTGAGCGGAGGAGAATGAGAGCAAAAAGAGAAATAAAATAAGAGAAAAAATACATCATCGTCGTTGCGAAACGGAAAAATTGGAAGACTATGTTATTCTACGCCACACTTGATGAATACTTTGCACAATAAATTATGATTACACAAAAGCATTTTTGCGGTTTGTCGAGACGTACAGTTTTCATTATTAGGGTTGATGCTTTCTCCGACTCTTAGATGCTTCGACCGCGGGTCATAATGGCCATATCTCAGCTTCTAAGCACAGCTTAGAAGACAAAACACTCTCCACGGTAAATGAGCTGTTCCAAGTAGCGCTGCCACCTGCGTAATCCCAATGATGTCAGGCAACCCACAAGGCGTCTTACGAGGCAGAAAAATTCATAGAAATGGTCCCTTATGCTCCAAGGAACAACTTCAGCTGCTGCTTGGTACATTTCGCCAATTTTCCTTTCCAGGTCTTTATTACTCTGTATTTTCGCCTGCTCAGCTCTGCGATTATTGTTCTTTCGTTATTATTATTATTATTATTATTATTATTATTATTATTATCATTATCATTATCATTATTATTGGATTTATTATCCTCTCTGACTCTTAGATGTTTCAGTTAGGTGACGATTATCATATCTCAGCTACTCCCCACATTTTAGAAACACAATACTTTCCTCAATATATGAGCTGTTACAAGCAGTGCTACCACATGTAGACTCCCAATGATTTCAGGTATTACCAAGGCGCTCTGTATAGCAGAAAGGTTCCTTAACAGGGACAGCTTGAGCTACTATTTGGTATGTTTTCTCTGATTTACCCTGCCAGGTGTTGGTACCACCGTGTTTACACCTTCTTTACCTACACGATTTTATCCTTTATCGTGACCCATTCATGACTGCTCATGTGCACAAATGGAATATCAAGGCAATTGCTCACCAAGTGCTTATGAGTCAAGATAGTCGTATCCCACATGGGCTTCACTTGATCAATCTCTGCTACTGATGATACTGAATGCTCATACCATTTCTCTATTTACTCGAGGCCATACTTGCTACTTAGTATCCAGTGTATTCTGAGGACTAATTTCTCGTGGCGTCATCTGTACTCTTTTTGAACCAGTTTAGTATATTCAAAGAACTGCTTTCTCGAGAGCCTGTACTTTATAATGCTCCATAAGTTTTCTATGGGGTTGAGGTCAGGAGATTACGGCAGCCATGTCATAACACTCACCTGCTTCTCATCAAAGTATTCCTTCATCAATTTTGATTTGTGACAGGGAGCATTATCCTGTATAAAAATGAGCTTGGTAGGTTTAATTTGCACCCTTTCAGCAGAAGGGAGCAGACAAGACTCTAAAATTCTCTTGTACTGCTCGCTGCTGAGGGTCTTTTCAATAGGTTTTAAGAAACCAGTTCGATGAAAAGAAAAGCATCCCCAGAACATTATACTGAACGGATGCTTGACAGTACTTAGTGCTAAATTCAAAGAGCTTTCAAAGCTTCTTCTTCGGATTTTAGATCGTTGATCCTTTGAATTTAGCTCAACTTTCGTTTCATCAAAGAAGAGAAAATTTAGTCAAAAAAAATCAGGTGAGTCACTGTATTTCCTTTTATTATGAATTTTATTCATCATGAATTTTTTAGACCGATGCAGTCCCACGAGTTTCTACTGGGATGAAAGATGTATTCATCGAGACACAATCACTTGATAGATTTCTAACATATCTCCCGATTAGGTTAGGACTTCATGCTAGGGCAATCATCGGCAGCTTTCGAACAGTTTACCGTCTACTCAATTTAACTGACGAGACTTGTATCAACCCATGGTATGGTTTTCTTGGCACATTGCAACAATGCGCTTGCGCTGTACATATCATCTTTTCAGTTTCCATCTTCAAGAACCCGTCTCTGAGCCACCATCATTTTTCTGGATCTGGCAACTCTTGGACTTCTTGTGCAAATACTCCGTGCAGGGCTTTTTACTTCCATGCATTGACTTTCTCATCATAGATTCTCTTCCCATAACCTGCCATCCGTTCTGTCTCCACAATGACCTTTTCATCCACCGCATCTATTAATGTCCACTCCTAGCTATTCTGTAAGTACTCATGCAAAGACTTACGTTCCGAAACTACACCCCTATCAAACCTCTTCCGCCTTCTTTTCGCGTTAGTCCAGTTACATTACTCCTAGGATATTAGCACCTGTTCATGGTTATTATCTTCCTTGTCACACTCGGTCCAAGTTTGTTAGGTCTTCTTTTGTCCATTCAACAAAACCGACACCATAATTTACAACCCCAACTGTGCAAGCGTTGATTCCTGGAAACAAATTTCCACCCTTCAGCAGAGATCGACAAAGCTTTTTAACATGCCGAACTTACACTTTTCGGATGTGTACTTTCTTTCTGTCATTGAGAGTTTTGTCCATCTATAGAACTCCCAGGTATTTATAATCAGGGCTAACTCCCCCAAAATTCACCATCATCCTTGTTCTCTCCCCCTCTTCATTTCCAGCAGAGCACATAATAAATGAAATGCTGATATCCTAAGCGCTTTTCCTTACGATGTTTATCAAGGAAATCACCTGGTCATTATTGGTATTATATAACTTAAGATCATCCATGGTGGTTGATGGCCTGTTTCTGATCGATCCCTTGTAAGGTTGTAGCTAGATTTCATTCTTGTTATTGAGAAAGAATTGGAATTAATGGTAGCATGATAACTATGAATAACAGCGGGTGGGGGAGTAAATCGCCCTGAAAAGTCCCACGTTTGATTTGTACTTCACGCGTTTTTATCGCGAGAAAAAAGACGGAATGACATGCTATAGATGCTGTTTGGTATAGGTTGTGTTATGTGTAGAAATATACAGTAATAATAGATAATGTCATATGGGTCCAAGTCTGTAGCTTTGTACTAAGTATATCAGATAAAATCACAAAGATTTACCTAAATTTTGGGTCTCGTCTTATCTACAGGTGCGTCTTATACGTGGAAATTTACAGTATTCATAACTTCAATCCTCATTCAGAAATTGGAAAGACACAATAAAAAGTTGTATGGACAGATTTTGTCGAGGGTATTTTAATAAAAGTTGTTTGGATTCATTATTTTTTTCCATTATTTGGATTCTTTCTTACTGCTTAAAATCTTCTTTTTTTTTTTTAATCACCTGGTCATTATTGGTATCATGTAACTTAACATCAGCCATGGTTGTTGATGGCCTGTTTCTGATCGATCCCTTGTAATTTAGTTACGTACAGCCTAAGATCAAATTTAATTTATTTACGTACAGCCTTAGATCAAATTGAAGAAGTCAAAAATTAAGAATACTGTATTGAACCAGTTTTCCAAATGAGCAGTTCTTACTTACGTAGAATATTTGCATTCTAAATAATAATTGTTTTTTTATTATTTTTACCTTGGCTCGACCATCGATCTTGGAAATGTACAACTATTACTACCAATAAGCAGATGACCCATCCAGTTTCATTGTCTCCAATTTGACTCATTTTCTGGACTCCCCACTCCGACACCGATTCCTTTGACCCACATTTCATTCCGACGTCCACTCTTCTCTTGTCTCCAGTGTACCCACCACTCCATTCTCCCAGTCTCAGATGCCCGCCTCTTCCTTCGATCTTCCTTTCAAGTGTTGGATCTTGTGTTCTCTCCAGATTTCTCGTTTGCTTCCAATTACGCCCGATCAGGTATATTTTCTTTTCTTTTTTTTTTCTGGAAAAGAAACACAAACAATTACCACCACCACAACAACTATGACAACGACCACCATCTCCACCTGCCACACGCCACCACTATCATCCGCCATCATCACTGGTTTTTCTTTGTTTCTTCCTTTGCCTGCTTTGTGACGAAATTCCTTTTCAAGCCGCCCATCATCAAAGCAAAATGATATCAAATATTCCACGCACACGCACGCACCGATTTCTAATACGGAAATTTCTCCCCTATTACACACACGCACACACACACAGACATATATATATATATATATATATATATATATATATGATTTATACTTACACTTATTTTTTTATCAATGTATAACGAATGTTATGTATTTTTATGTTTATATATATATATATATATATATATATATATATATATATATATATGCGCGTATGTGCATGCGAAATGTGTGTGTGTGTAAATTTACCTTTCCTATATGTACACAATATCACCATTCTGTCTGTATATGTATGTGCGTGTGTGTTTTCATGGGTTGTTTCCATTAATTTCTTTTATCTGCACACAGACACAGACACATATACATATATATATATATATATATATATATATATATAGAGAGAGAGAGAGAGAGAGAGATTATATAAATATGTGTAATAAATATTTCCTTGTTTATTATTTATATATTGGTGTTTGTGTATCCATGTTTGCGGGATATTTTGTCTATTTGCATATATATATATATATATATATATATATATATATATATATATATATATATATATATATATATATAAAGAGAGAGAGACGTGTGTGTTCAGTGAATATGTCTTCAGTTCATACTTTTTATGTGCAATGACAAACAACACACTGAATAAGCGTTTCCATTGACTCAAAATTAAACACGCAGGTAATATAGCTGTATTACTGTAATTGTTCAATACGTGTATAAATTGTATAACTTTGGTGGCGTTAATAAAAGCCTTCAAAATCGCATGCGTCCGTCATTACATCATAACGTCATGTGATACATTATTATTATAACAGGTGGACTAACTAAATGAGTCAGGCCACGTCCCATCATGCCCAATATGTG